GTAACATACATACAAAAAGAAACATACAGTCGAATTGAGAACCTCCTCCGTTTTTTGAAGTCGATTAAAAATAAGCAAAGGGTTGAGGTGTTTCTTTATTAAACCAGTCGCAAATTTTAATCAGCCAAACAAAAGAACAGGAACCTACGTTCGCGTCCGTTATTCAGTCATCCGTAAACAGCAAGCAAAAATTGGTTCAAATACCAACCTTATTATTAACAACGCTAAGGTGCACTTAAAAATGTTATCAGACGAAATTCAATTATAGTAGCAGTAGAACTCCTTGTCAAATAGTCCGTCCAGGGAAGTACTGCCACGTTACTTATTTCTGCCGCCAAGCAGTAATGTGCGCATTACTGCATCCCGGTTTGGAAGAGTAAGGGTGCTGGTGAAATTGCAGGCACAAGGGACTTGTCAACTTATGTCTCAGGGTGACGGGCGCAGTGGCAGTGCCCCTAAAGCCTGAGCGCACGACTTGTCCATCCCTTCAATTGGCATTATAAAAAAAAGTTTCAATCAAAATTAGTCACAAGGTTCAATTAAAAAAGACACTTGGAATCTTTAGAACTGACTCACTCACAATAGAGTTCACAGTATAAGTATGGGAATATTTAACTTCTCGTTACTTCTTAATATGAACGTTAATGAGGATTTCTTTTAAGCAAGAACGATTAGTAGAATTTAGTTGTTCTCTGTTCTCGTATAAGTTAATGGTATTTATAAGCTATGATGTCAAATCATCTCCTTGTCTAATTTGAAACTTTAAACCGTTATATTATAACTGAGCTGTCTGACATGTTCCAATTTTTTTTCATCTTCAGACACAATGTGACATGATTTTGATTTAACTATACTTACCAATTCATTAACCCGTTGCAATATCTTAGTTAGCCCGGCGATGACCAGCGAGAATCGGTGCCTACTGATCTGTACCAGGCACGCTTTGATCTGCTCCTCATTGATTCGGGAGTGGAGGTTTTGAGCGCCCGTTTTATATGGAAGCTGTAGGAGTAAAGTAGGTATATAAAAAGAGGTAGGTATATAAGACTGTATAAAGGCCTGCAGACTAAACAAGCAACTTGTGGACTGGTCTGATATTCTGTTTTTCCAACGTATTATTGCGTCTAATTATCTATAAATTGTTATACAGTGTGTTTTTTCAATTGAGGTAGTATGAGGAAATCTGAAATCATTAAAGATACAGGGAACCTGAATGTCATTAATTTAGTATGAAAAAACTTTTTGCTAAATTTGATCAATTTCTGCTATCACGATTTTTTCTTACAATACCATAAAATGATTCTTATCTGAAACTGAGTCAATCAGCATTACAAAAAAACATTGTCAATTCTATTCATTTTGTGTAAAAAATATTTTGACCAACTTCTGAAGTCCCAATACAATGAAATGATCCTTACATGAAACAGTTGATCAGAACTAAAAAAATATTAAGCAATTTTACTAATTTTTTTTTATACAACTCCCACTTGATCAAAAAATTTACTATGCCAAACTTGTTTTAACAAAAAAGACTTAATGATTCCTATGACAGGTTTCGTGTATGTTCCATGGTTTCGGATGTCCACATACTGTCCCAGTTAAAAAAACACACTGTATAATGACAGTGTTTCACAACTATGAGCTGGAAAGACACAATGTCGATGAAACCGGGTTGTCCTGCATATTACGTTGTTCTACAGCTGGGATTGTTTTAACTTAAAACTCAGTCTGAAGATCTAGGTGTATTATGACATATGATTTTTTAAATTCTTTATGTGTTTCAAGTTCTGCTGCTCAGAATAGATTTCAGAAATTTTGTACTTTATTTATTATTATTAATTAAGCATTTGGTATTTCAGTCTGAATGTCAGTCCATACTTTATGATATGGCTTGTGTTCAGTGCAACATTAGTATAAATGGCAGCTGCAGACAAATTTTTGACATATTATAATTATTAGAAACAGTAGGTCTAACGGCATCACTTAGCTGGAAAGACAGGATATCAATGCCACCAGACTGTCTTTCATTATTTCATTGAGTTCTTTAATAATAAAATCCAATATTTATTGGAAAATTTTCATCCTTATAATTTTATTAATCCTATCAATTAGTGTAATAAATAGAGAGTGTTTCAACTTCAACTATTGTATCATCTATGGCTCCATCGTTTTGCGCGACGATTTCACCAACGTCAGGGTTGAAAGACTAACTTATTCAAAACTCAGTGAGATGTTGAGATAAATTGCTGATTATTAAAACACTTAGCGGTTATTATGAAAATTGACAGTTGTAATTTTTTTTAGATATTAGAAAAATATAATTTGAAGGCTCATATTACTTTCTTTCTTTTAGAAACATTTTGTGAAGTTTTATTTAGCTTGAAATAAAAAGTAAAATCATTTAGTAAAAGAAAGTTAGGCATCATTTTCGTTCAGTAACATCAACTTTTGACTGGTGTCAATGTCAAATGCGGAAACTTATCATTGAGAATGAAATAAGAAATAGAATTATATGGAAAATATTGGGAGAATATGGGGAGAATATTGGGAAGAATATTCATTTTTCTAAAAAATTAAGACTCATTTAAAAATGAGAATTTATCTCCAACTCTACATCAGTTGGGACAGAAAATTATGAAATTAATGTGGTCGAGTGGTGGCTATTTGAAGCTGATTACAGATTTATGTTATTAAGCTTTAGAAATTTGTATAAAGTGAATACTAGAGGTGACTGTGCCTTTAGAGAGTGTTTCTTTTTTTGCCTCTTTAGTTGATTTGATTCCCTGCTCAGGTAAGCTTTCAAAAAAAAAACCTATGAGTTAAATTATATTCATATTAAGTAAAATTACCTATCATATACATTAAGTAAGCATTTAAAATAGTTTCCCTTCATGTTCCGTTGATTTTTTTCACCCTGTATTTACCTAAATATTCAACAGTTTTATTTATGAATTTATTTGCATGTTTATAATACAATCCGACACCAGCCCGTTACACCAAGTACCAAGTAAGTGGTATAATCCGAATAATACTTAGAAATCGTAATGAAAATATTTTGCTAATATTTATTTTTATTTTTAAGATAGATCTTCTTCTTCTTTTAAAAGCTAAGGCTCTATCGAAATAAACGATGATTTCCAATGTCAAGTAAAAATGACTATGTGCGGTAGTTTTATCGTGTACATTTTTTACAGCACAAAACTTTTCTTTTATTTTTCTATGCAAATTTAAAATTATTCTCAACTCAATTTTTTAACCCTGTTTATCCTTATATTTACAGTCAGTACGTACTTTGTAATCTGTACATTCTGTATAACTTTACCAAATTCGTTCCTTTATTTCCGTAGGTACATGCGCGGCGCACCGCTAAATGTTTTGCGTAGGTGTATTGAACAAGTAAAAAACGTAATATTGAACCATTAAACTTAGACTTGCGCGAGTTAAACTTACGTACAACACAGTTTTTATGTTCCATTTAATATGTAATACAGTAAAAACGTTGAAAATTCCTGCTTTGTTTACATCAAAGTCAAGATCAAGGGTGCTCCGTTTAGTAATAAATAAATAAATATTTAGACACTTACCTGCTCTTCGAATCGGGCTATAAGCGAATTAGCCCACTCTCCTGGTTTCTGAGTACCCATTTTGTACGTTTATAGTGTAATTTTCACATAAATATTTTAAAAACAATAAGTATTTTATGCGAACCCATATTCTTCGATTTTTCTGTCGGAAATGGTGGAAGTTGCCAGCACGTAATTAATGATTAAACTTTTTGATATATTTTAATTTTATATGGACCGTTTTAGTGCCATCTAAATCCAAATAAATTCTAAAGTAGTGGTTTTTTGCTGGAACCTCTAATTAAAATCAACGTTTATCTAATATTTATAGATTCCAACACTTCAAAAATTATTACTGATTTAGTAACAATTTACTGGCAATATCGGTGCTGTCAGATTTCAATCAATAAATTTTATGGACAAGTTCAAGATCGTAAAATAATTAAAACGTTAAATGTATTAATTGTTTTATGAGCTAATTGCAAAAGTTTCTGTTGCAGAACCTAGTCTGCTCTAAGTTCACGAGTACAATTTACATAATTGTCTCAAAATAATAAATGATTCTTGTTCTATTATTCTCATTGTTAAAAGATGCAAAAATAGGTCGCTCTAGTTTTAGAACGCATCTAAAAATAATAATATAGCCTGCACTAAATAATTTCCACTATTGATGGGAAATTAAACTAATTACAAACCTGAATAAATGTATGAGTTAGTACTCAAGCAAGAACGCTTATTTCTTTTTTTAACTTATAAAATTAACTTCCCGTTTAGGTAATCTTGATAAAAAGTGAGTTAAGAATACCAAAAAAGAAAAGTAATGACTGTAACAAAATTAAGTAAAATAGTGTCTAGAAACCTTCGTATCATATTTTGCTGCTCTAACTTTACTGTGCACTGTTCAGTATGGTTTGATAGTTATGTTTTGGTTATTAAAACTAATTTTTATTTTATATTTTTTACTTGAAGTAGTTTAGTAGTTACGAGGACATCAACATACTTAATTACTTACATACTAAGCGTGTTACAGTATTTGCCCTCCATTGCCAGTGTGATCTTTGAGGAAAAAAATGGTTCTTTTCATCAAATTATAAGTAAAAGTAAATAAAAATTATACATTGGCAGCCCCGAAATTTCCTTACAATCAGTCAGCTGTCAAAAGTTCTGGCGATTCACGTATACAAGATTGTTTTTTAAATTGCTTTTTAGTAAATATCTTCATATTTCTTGCATTTGGAAGGGTAACGAAGGTTGGAAATCCAAAATGATGGTAAGTTATGTGTTTTGGAACTAATTTCACTACACTCTTACTTGTATTTTTATAAAATAACCGGGGGGCGTTACCATTGGAGTTGTAATTAAATTTACCTCGTATATTTCGTGTTTCCGTTAATACTTTACGCGGTGTTTATCATGAATGAATCATGATATGAAAACAAAGGTTGTTGTATCTTTATATTGAAAGTTTATCGAGTGTTAACCGTGTTTTTGAACAGATTTGATAGTGACGTGGAGTCGTGAAAATTCGAATTAAAACTTCAAGGATGGGTTTTTTTTGGTATTGCTTGAGTAATTAGTATAATGCTGTGTTAATAGAGGTTTTCAGCTCTTGAAATTAACGATCCGCCTATTATCGACCAAAGAAGGCCTGTATTTTAACAGTAGATAATAAAATATGGCTATAGTAAGAATTTAGACTCGAATCTCTGTCTTTTTTCGCTACATCTTTATTTAGAATTCCTATTTCTGTTTATATTTCCACTTCCATACTCCCTTATGATTTCTATTAGATTAAACTATAGAGTTCTGAAGTTCATCTGCAGAGAAGCAAATAAAGAAACTAACCCTATCATGAGATAACATTTCTGGGACATCTTTGTGCCATGTAGACAAAATAATGAATCACAACAACCAACACTAGTCCACACTATTGAGTCTTGTTGCATATATGGCAGGTTGGGAGTTAATTGTCGTGCGGGGTGACCTGTTCATGAAAAGAGCTAAAATTGTGTATACTCATAGGTTAGGTCATGCCTCTCACTATGAGGCAACAAGATAGAGTAAAATAATCCACAGGGACTGACATCACTAGGACTACATTAACACCCAAATGTACAGGCCTTATTAAAAAAAAAAAGAATACTAGAACAGTATATCTTACTTTTAACAAATCTACAAGGTGTAATTTAGACCTCATTATGTTTTAATATGTATGTGTGGTATAAGTTGTGGAGACAGCATCTGCTATAGTGCAACAAGAGAGCCTAGACTAAAACATCGAATGTGATGATGGTTTTTAAAATATCTAGTATTTATTATGACCTTTAGGGTCGATAGTCAGAGTCCCGAACATTACCTAACCTAGTCAAAACTTTAGAATCTGCTTGTTGGTGTCTATGAGGTCCTGTGCAGCCCCTCATCACTATGACCATTAGTTGATCTATCGTGATCACCACTAATTACAGTTTGAAGCCTCCTGGCTTCAAACTGCATTAAAAAACTGAAGGATTTTCCTGGCTTCAACAGTTTTTATATCCTTAGATTCTGTCCTGTGCCTTCCCAATATGGCACCTCGTGCGCCCAGCAAGGGATAGCATTAAGTAAGGAGATGCAGAGCACTTTCATATATTTTATGGCCAAATCTACACTCTCATCTTCCCAATATTTGACACATGCTTGTTCAAGCCACAACACCCTGTTAAGACTCTAGTCGTCATTTTGATGCTATTTCTGTCTAGTGATAGAACTTCTCTACATTGTTTAGCACTGTAGCATAGTATAGTAAGAACAAGTATGGTAACTCCATATTAAATGTTGCAATGTGGCTTGTATACACATACAACCTGCACTGCATCAGTACACTCTATGGATGCACATATTTACACAACCTAAGAGTGCTCTAGTGTTGCACAACACTGGTCATCTCAATGCCCATTTCATTATTATGCGAATCCCTACATGGTTAGTTGCTCTACTATGACTGTAGGCAGCTATCAGGACTTTTGAATGCTCAAGACCCTTGGTCCATAGCCAGATGACTTGTGAGACATGTGTGCTCTGGTTCAGTAGAGTGAGCTTTGCCAAGTTGTATGCTACCCCTATAATGGGTTCAGGATCAATAAAGGCCTCACTAGTACCATCTTTTACCAGCTCATCTGCTATTCAAATTGTGTTACAAATCGAAGGACATTATATTTCATAGAATGTGACCATTATATGGCTGTAAAAGACTAATTTTCATCATAAATATTTCATTTTTAATTCCAGGACTGCGTGGAAGACACAAACCATGACCCTCTGTCAACTCAGTCTCCGCCCGTACAGTCTCCAACAGGTGATGCTAAACCGGACAAGAAAAAGATCAGTGAAAATGTTTCTTTGGCTGATAACAGCTTGCTGGTAAGCATATTCAGTCCGTACTGGATGCAAACTCAAATAATATTTAATTTCATAGGTAAGCAAATTACGCTTGAATTCATCATTTTGATTGAACTCTACTGCTCATTCAAAAGGCAGATTCTCCTGAGAAGAGTGAGCAAGAAACTCTATGGGTTGCTCTTTGTACATATAGATTTGAATACATTTATCATTCCAATATTTATTCATCTTACATTGAGAAAACCTGCAAGAGCTAAATGGGTCACCACTGCGGATTTTTGTGATCCAAGTAAGCAGAGGCTGCATGGAAGAACCTTTAACCACATTTTGAATATCAAATGGAATTTTATTATAGAATTGATTTGTGACTTTGTGAACATGAATGTCAAGAACAGCTAGTTTATTTTTATTCCCCATGTTAATGTGATTTGTTTGGATAGATAAATGATAAATTTAATTTCTAAGTTTTGTACATTCCTAAATGTTTAGTAGCAATACCTCTGACTAACCCTAAAACTTGCATTTCGGGGAAGGTTCCCAACTAGGGCCAGTGTGGCAGATTACGGCCTAAACTCTTTGGAGTGGAGGCTTTAGGAATGTTTTACTTTTATTACAACATAGTTACAAAAAATTACAAGGAAAAAAAATTGAATATTTGTAGTGTAGTTCATATAGATTAAAGTATCACGCTCTGGACAGCAGCAACGCCCCATCAATTGCTTCCGAGGCCTCTTCCCATCCCAGGACTCTTCAGCGCCTGCTGGGGGGCAGTAGGGACTACTATGGGACACTATGGCTTAGGCCATAGCCCGCTACGCTGGGTTGGGCACTTCACTCGTTTCCCGAGAGTTGTGAACCTTTTTTGACCTCTCTGAACCTCTGCTTGAGAACCTCGGCTTCTCAAACTATTAGGCTACCATGGTAATAACTTTTATGTCACTATAACTTTGCAGGTGGACATATCTGACGCTTTAAGCGAGAAAGAGAAAGTAAAATTCACAGTGCACACAAAAACAACACTGCCAGAGTTCCAAAAGTCTGAATTCCTCGTTGTCAGGCAACATGAGGAGTTTGTGTGGCTGCACGATCGGTACGAGGAGAATGAAGAATATGCGGGATATATTGTAAGTATTAAGTATTGCCATGGATTATCAATGTGTGTGTGTGTGTGTGTGTGTGTGTGAATGAGATAACAATTTTATTGTTTGTTTGTATTTGGATATTACTGAGTTAATGAAACTGGTTGATGAATTAAATTATTATTTAGTTTATATGACGGAAGAAAGAAAAGAATGGAAATGGCATCAAGCAACATTTGTAATCAAAACCGGTGTCGCCACACGTACACATTTGAAAACATTATCTTACATTAGTACTAAGATAAGAGAGTTGAGTGTGTGCGTTATTAACATAATTTTGATTGGTTCTAAATTATGAAACGAAAATAGACAATAATAAAAAACTTTTGGTAAAAAAAATTAAACTTATTTGGATCTAATAAAGTTTTATTATTACTAGTCACATAAAAGCTAAGAATCCTATGAACATATACTTGTTGGAACAAAAAAGGTGACTATCTACAGCAGGGGTTCCCAAAGTTATTTTGTCTACTGCCCACTTTGAGAATAAATTCTTTTTTAGCGACCCCATTTTTTCACCTACTTAAAAACCACTATAACTTCAAATTAAATTAATTATTGTGAGCTATATTAGCGGAGATTAAACATTCATTCTAAACTAAATTCATTCTTACTATAACCCGCAAGAATTAACTTGAGACCTGAGCGCTCAGGTCTCAAGTTAAGTCTTACGGGCCACCTGCCAATGAGAATGATTATTGAAACGCAACTTTATAGTATTCAGACAGAGTATCTTTTATTCAAAATAAAACAAACAAAATCGATTCTAATATAAACTCTAATGTGAAGGATGAACTGATACTCTTTAATAAGTTTGTTGGTATCAGATTCCAATTTACTCAAGAACAGCCGCAAGTCACCACGTTCGGTAACATGCAAACGATTTCTCTTTTTAGTAAGCAGCGTTGTCACAGCACTAAAACCACGTTCACACAAATATGACGATGGGAATGCTATCAAGAATCGTTAACGATTGACCACAATCCAGGGTACAATTGCGGGATCGGTTTTTGTACCCAAATTCTTGGTAGCCATTTTTGAACTTGATTTTTATTTCCTCGTTCGTTGTCAATTCTATAAGTTCTTCCAGCTGAGGTGATATTGCTGTGTTGACATTTGAAAACGGATCCAACACCCACTCTGTTATTTTCGAGTTCAAAATATCCTGGTATCGTTCGGTGAAGTCAATGTGGAGGTTTTCCAAACGTTGGCAGTAGGCAAACAAGTCGTAGTTACTGCAGGATACTGATAAATTCGGAAAATTGTGAAACTCACGTCTGCAAAATTGGTGGAAACAGTAAATATGTATGAAGTACTTTTAAGTACGTACGTAAGTTAACTTTTTTGAAGTAATGAACTTTTTGATTTGAAAGTTTGCAATACGTTGTATATAGATGGCGTTTCTTTGGATTTATTATCAAAATTAGAAACGTTTTGGCATTCACTTTTACTTTAAAATATTAAAATTACTGACTCGAAAACTCCAAGGGATGCATAGGCCTGAATGACTGACCTAGACCCAGAGACTGCTACTTATAAGTCACAAGACCGGAATACCGGTTCATAGACATACTATGAAAATTGTTGACGATCCTGTGCTTACATACGATATTGAACGACTGTCTTGGAGGAGAGACTTTGCCTCCCTATCCCTGTTCTATCGCTTGTACAATGGCCAATGTTCTGAAGAACTGTTTGACACGATTCCAACAGCAACATTTTTGTCATCTCACCTCTCCCCACCGGCAGGGAGTCGATCTCGTACTGTACGGTTTCAGAGGAGATTTTTCCCATATACAATTAGGTTGTGCAATGAACTTCATGTCGGGGTTTTCCCGCAGGAATATAGCATGGAGTTGTTCAAAAGGGGTTTGAGAAGGGTCCTAAAGGGTCGGCAACGCGCTCGTGACGCCTCTGGTGTTGCAGGCGTTCAAAGTCGACGGTGACCGCTTTCCATCAGGCGGGCCGTATGCTTGTTTGCTGCCTACATAAAAATAGTAAAAAATGAATAATATAATAATAATAATAATAGACACATCCAGGCAGCCAAAATATTAGAACAAAAGCCCGCTCTGAAGCACGGACTCGTGCTACCAAGGATGCCATATTACAAGTATTCACCGGAGCCAATACTCGAATATGACCGCGCCAAAACCATTGGGATCGATCGCAGTCGAGAGTATTTCTTGTTATCCCGCATGACGAGGGTCTCGTGAAAGCGGAAACCGAGAAACGCCGGAAATATCTCGACCTGGCGCACGAGATCACCGACATGTGGGATGTGGCCTCCACTGAAATAATCCCAATTGTTTTATCCGCAAATGGGTTAATTCCAGTCAGTCTTGCTAACAGCTTGAGGTGGTTGTATTTCTGTAACATGTCGCTTCCAGCACAAATGCAGAAGGCGGTCCTGCTCGATACGGCATTGTTCGCCGGTTCTTGAACGTAAGTCCCTGAACCCGGCCATCTGTGCCGTTGCCGGGGAATACTGAATCTTCCATTTAAGAATTCAAATTTAATCTTTGGAAGAGGCGAGAGTCTAAAATAGATAATAATAATAGTAATATAGTATTACCTTATCTGTGGTGTTGTAATTGTTTATGTCGAGTTTTTCTGTTTTCGCGACTGCTGCATATTGGCAATGATTTTTTCGTATCTAAAATAAAATTGCTTGTAGATTCCGCCCGCGCCGCCGCGTCCTGACTTCGACGCGTCCCGCGAGAAACTACAACGTCTGGGCGAAGGAGAAGGCTCTCTTACACGGGAGGAGTTCCTCAAGATGAAGGAGGAGTTAGAAGAGTGAGTTTAAATTTGGTTGCTTCGTATAGTTAAAAAGGAGATGTGGGATAATTAAAAAAAGGGTTATGTAACAAAATTGGTCTGTAAAAGCACAGCAATGGCGGCGAGCCTTCGATAGTGACATTTTATTTTTTTTTGCTAAAATTAGAAGATTAATTCCACTGATTGAGGAATCCTGAACAACACAAAGGTGTCGACATGAAGCGATCATTAAAACACAATCGAGCCGAGCCTATATATAGCAAATTTAAGGTTGGCCCCGGGCGGAAAAAATCGACGCAACGCCACCGGCGCGTCTTCTCTTTTTTTTCTTCAAATTATCCGTCTCGCTTGCACACTTCTTCCCTCTCACTCCCGCATCGTCTAAATTATAATAATGTATATATTGACGAATACCTTATTTTTTTCAAATTATATTTACTAAAAATAATAGATGTGACAACCCTATGCTCGGAGCGATTTTTTTAAGATACCATGTGACGGGACGCAGTCATACGCATGGTGGTAAGCGACACACCCATTCACAACAGTTGCAGTGTCACTCAGAGCTTTAAGTCGCAAAGATCCGAAAGGCACTGCCACTACAATGTTAGACATGAGTTTAAAAGTTCCATGTGCCTGTAATTTCACCAGGACCGTCATAGAAACAGGTAAGGTGGCAGTACTTCCGTGGACGAACTCTTTCACAAGGACCTCTATTGCTACTTTGTAAATAGCTCTACTGCTGCCACTACTACGTGTAGGTATTAAATAAATAAATAACGCACACACTCAACATAGCCCCGCACTAGGGAAACCCTGTGTCGCGGGTGCCATGGACACACACATAGACAACCACAAATTACACCCAAACTCACGAGAGAAATAATTGTAGGCCATACAACTATTTCTCCCGGCCCGGGAATCGAACCTGGGTCCTCTGCGTGGTAGTCCGGCATGGTAACCGTTCAGCCACAGAGGCAGTTAAATATTATGGACACGGCGAATAGACAAAAGTTACAATACTTGTCTTATCTATGCTATGGTAGTATGTTATCATCTTAATAGCACTGTCTGCGGTTGTATTGAAAAAAACATAGCAAAAACAAAATTTAAGTCCGTTCCAATCGATTTTCAATAAAAAGTAAACAAACCTGTTTAATTAAAATTCTAAGGCAATCACTCAATAAATCGAATAAGAAACACTATCACGTATATTTCGAAGATTTCGAATTGATATCTCATAACTTTTTTCAACAATATTTATTTGAATAGCACCGTAAAGTTGTATTTGAAGAATGGTAGTCCAAAAGTGAAGTTATTTTTCATCTATACATCTATGACTTGTCCATGGTTGTATAGTGCTGTACGAAAAAAAACTTTCAGTTCATTCAATTTAAGGTTTTGTAATCGATTAGTAAATCGAATATTTCAATTGCAATCGAACGAGTATCTAAGTGTAAGGATTTGAGATAATAAGGATTTTGGAGGGCTTAAAATTAATATTTCGGAAATTTCGATAATGCTTATATAGGTTATGTGGGGAAACCCGCTAGTATGACTCAATGAAACAAATCGATTCATTCAATTAATTAATCGATTTGTAGTTGGCATTACAATTGGCTATCACTAAACCGTCTATGGTCGGGTCAGTGACTTGTTTGTTTACATTTTGTTGAAAATAGATTGAGACGAAATATAATTAAAATGTTATTCTCCACAGCGAATATCTGGCAACTTTCAAGAAAACGGTGGCAATGCACGAAGTTTTCCTTCAAAGACTGGCTGCGCACCCTGTGTTCCGCGGCGATCCGCATCTGCGCGTCTTCCTTGAGTACGAACAGGACCTGTGCGCTAAGCCTAGAGGCAAGATGGACCTTATTGGGGGACTGGTGAGTTGTCTTATAAACTCCTATTTAACCGACTTTAAAAAAAGGAGGAGTAACGCCTACCATGTACGTGTGTGTGTCGGCAACGAGTTACACACGCACGCGTACGTCTGTACAAAATCGCCACCTCGAGTTTCGAAAAGCCATAATGAACATACAGGGGAGCGAGGGGGAATGGGAGTCTACTAAGAAAAATTGATAATAAAACTCATAATTTAATTAATTACGCTTTGCATATTTGGTTACTTGATAATTACAGAAAAAAATTGTAACTAAAATATAATATTTGGTTAAAAAGAAAAAACTAAAACATGCCATTCGCTCCCATTACCCCACAGTTCGGGAAATGGAAGCAAGGTAAGGTAAGGTAAGTATCCCGTATAGAGATGGAAAAAACTCCTTATTTTTTTAAACGTTTAAACGTTATGCTTTTTTTAAAAAGCGTGCTTTTTTAAACACTTTTTCAAAACGTTTGTTAGTTTGAAGCTAACAAAATCGTTTAGAAAATGTTTAAGCACATAGACTTTTATGTTAAAAAAAGCTTGCAAGTTGTATTGATAGCGACACGCAAGAGTAAACCACTAAAGGTTTTAAGATAAGTAAGTTTGTTTGCAAAAAACGAGTTATATTTTTAACATAACATTACTATATTAACATCACAACAACAACAACAACATCGATAATTCTTTTTTTGTTGGGTACTGAGTACCTCAGTAGTGCTCCAATTCAAATTTCAAGAAAATATTCCACCTCTAAAGAGATGAATCGCCGTATTACTTCGAGATTATTAAGCCCTAAAATTATCATGAATCAATTCCGTATGTAAATGTTTATTACATATTGTTCACGCCTGAGGTAAACATAATAGCAATGTCATTCACCAAAGTAATCGATGCTTTTTTTATTTAAGTATTTTTTTACTACAAGGAAAGTATTTTGTAAACTTTATTATTTTGATCATCGCTAGCAGACACATATCTGTACTCTTTTCTTTGCAAAAACTCGAAAGTTGTACAAAACGGAGGAAATTACCAAGTTAATGAAACTTGAGGCAACAATCTTGCCTAAAGCAAGAACACATATGAATGCTACGTATTGTCACAACGTTTTACTTTCGCATTTGTATTAGTTCAAACAATGGGAATGAAAGGGCGATCTCCGTGGTTGAGTGTGGTACACCGGTTTTCATGATGTCGCCATCTCCGAGATCCCGGATTCGATTCCCGCCTTGGTAAATAATACAAGTGGTTTACTTTGGGATCAGAGCAACATATATAGACTGTGAATTGGCAATCGGTACTCGTATCTCAATTTTGCCAACTTAACAGGATGAAGAAAAAAATAGTTTGCGTCATTTATATAGCATCTGGTTTATTAAATAAAAAATACGTCGTTTTTAGGTATTTTTATTACGCATGTATGTATGTACACTACGTATTTTTATTTAATAAACCAGATGCTATATAAATTATTTTTTCTTCATCCTGTACTGTTGTCAAAATTGAGATAGTACTGGTTGCCAGTTCTCAGTGGATATGTGATGTTGTCTAATATTTATTGCTATAATCAAAATTTGTAGGAATCTGGAAGAAAAAGGGCATAATGTCACAAAATTGGGGACTATAAACCACTGAGCCAAGAAGATGAGTACACAACAGGGTCTCCCTCTATTTTTCGTTTTCTCCCAAATTTTTTTTTGTTATCATCAGATGCGTTCAATGACAACGACGACGGATGAGATCTATCTCGGTGCGACAGTGCGTGATGTTAACGACTTCTTCGAACAGGAGACCGCTTTTTTGCAAGAGTACTACTCGCACTTGAAGGAGGCTGTAGCCAGAGTCGATAGGATGACTTCAAAACATAAAGGTAAGATACATTACGGTTTCATGTATAGAAAATACTTCTTCGTGACTAGGAGACCGTTTTTTTATCTAGGAGTCCGTTTTTTTATATATAAGAGACCATTTATTTGCAAGAATACTATTCGCTTTCACAAGCAGTTGCTAGATTATTATATTAATAGAGATACTTTTAATCGTAACTGTGAAAACATTAGAATCCCATGTTATTATTACTTTTATTACTAGGAGAAAGCTTATGTAGGAGACAGCTTTTTTGCAAGAGTACTATTCACATTTGGAGGCAGTAGCTAGGTTATTACATTAATAAAGAAATAAAGAAAGAAAGAAACGTTTATTCAGCTTAAGTGAATTCAAGCAAAACAGATATTTTACATTAATGATTACATATATCTAGAAGCTGAAACGACGATAATAGGGTGACCATTAATTATAACGTTGAAGGTATTAGATTCCGATGTAAAACAATTTACTTTAATTACTAGGAGAATGTTTACTTTATATAAGAGACCGCATTTTTTTGCTTTATTCACATTTGGAGACACTAGCGAGGTTATTAGTAGAGTGACCTTTGAATTGTGAAGACGGAGTCCTGTGTTAATTACTTTTATAACTAGGAGAACATTTACTTTATATAGGGGACCAATTTTTTCAAGCGTGCTTATCGAACTATTTATTATAAATAAATAGTGACCGTTTTTACAGGATTTGGTTTTTGTATTAGTTATAGGCTTCAAAATTATCTGTACTGAATGAAATGTATATTGCAGAAGTGGCCGACGCTCATATCAAACTCTCGTCCTGCTTCACTCAACTGGCGACGCGAGAGCAGCCCACCACTGAGCGGTTCCTCACCAAGGCTTCGGAGACGTTCGACAAGTGCAGAGTAAGTAGTTAAGTAATACCGCTACTAGATGGCGCTACCTAATCTATTGCTACTTATACAATGTTTTTTTAATGAGACAGTGTGGGGAAATCCGAAACCATAGAATTATACAGCTCACACTTGACCAAAAAATTGACTATGCCAAAATTGTTTTCAGAAAAAAATACTTAATGGTTCCTAAGACAATTTTCTTGTATCTTCTATGGTTTAACTGCCGCCGTCTTGAACGGTTACCATGCCGGACTGCCACGCAGAGATCCCAGGTTCGATTCCCGGGCCGGGAGAAATATTTGTATGGTCTACATTTATTTCTGTCGTGAGTTTGGGCGTAATTTGTGGTTGTCTATGAATGTGTCCATAGCACCCGCGACACAAGGTTTCCCTAGTGTGGGGCTATGTGTGTTGAGTGTATGGGTTATTATTATGGTTTCGAATTTCCCCATACTGTCCCATTTAAAACAAATACTGTATAATCTAGAATCCGGTTTCGCGCGAATACAAACAACACAAACAAACGTTTGTTGTCGGTTTTTCTTAAGAAAAACATTTTTGTTTATGATATAAAGTGACGGGATAAACAATTCGTGCGCCTGGTGGTAAACGACAAGCCTGTCCATAACAGTTGCAGTGCCACTCAGAGTTTTTAATCGCAAATGTCTAATGGGCACTGCCACTGCGCCCGTCACTGAGACATAAGTTCACAAGTCCCATGTTCCTGTAATTTCACCAGCACCCTTCAAGACCTGAACGCAATAATGCTCACGTTACTGCTTGGCGGTTAAATAGGCAAGGTAAGGTCTTCTACTGCTGGTAAAAAGTGACATATAATTATTTTAATTTTATTTATTTTTTTTACAAACAAGGCATACAAGAGAACATAATACAATTTCTCACCAAAGTGCGAAAGCAGTTTGTTGGCGAGGTTACTTACACTCACAATCACTATACTACTATAAGAAGTATACCTAGCACGAGTACATTTAACAGAACCAGTGTAGAAATTGCTAAATTTACATGCTTTCAAAAAGTAAACATTGAATTTTTTTTTCAATGACAATTTAGTTAACATTTCTCTGCTATTAAAAAAAAAATTAGTTCTCCATTATTGAAAAGCGGCGATATTTCAATGACAAACTGCGTGATCATACTCGTCTGAATTGTTGCAGAAGATCGAGGGTCGCATGGCGTCCGACCAGGACCTGAAGCTGGCCGACACGCTGCGGTACTACATGAGAGACGCGCACGCTGCCAAGTGTGTACTTGTGCGAAGACTGAGGTAAGACTATAAATTCATACTCAATTATACCTTTACATCATAGTAGCAGCAGAGCACCTTGTGAAAGAATTTGTACAGGGAAGTACCTTACCTATTTCTGCCGCCAAGCAGTAATGCCAGTGATACTGCGTTCCGATCTGGAAGGGTAGGAGTGCAGGTAAAATTACAGGCACATGGGATTTGTCAACGTATGTCTAAGGGTGACGGGGACAGTGCTCCTAAGATCTTTGCTATTTGAAACTCTTGAGTGGCATTGCAACTGTCATGGACAGGCGAGTCCCTTTCCACCAGCCGAACGACTTGTTCGTCCCGTGACTAGATATTATTAAAAAAAACACAACAAATTACTTATTTATATATGATATTTCAGCGAATTGAAACCCCTGTTAGTTTTGTAACCGGTTTTAAAACCTTGACGTTGTTCATTCCAGATGCCTCTCAGCATATGAAGCTGCCAATAGGAATCTCGAGAAGGCACGTGCCAAAAACAAGGACGTTCATGCCGTAAGTAAATCTTGGTGTTAGTTAAGCGTGAAACACAAGAGAGTGTGTGCGGGTCTGGCGCGAGTCGGGTCGGGCGCGGATCGGGTCAGGTCGGGCGCGGGTCGGGTCGGGACCGCGACTGGTCTGATTCCGACAACACATGGAGCGAGGGCCATATAAATACACGGAATTAGACCCGCAGCGGTCCCGTCCCGACCCGCGCCCGACCTGGGTGTGTTTCCCGCTTTACAGTTTATCTACTGACGTCAAATGTCTATTGAGGTTCAATATTTGAAGGATACAAGCGTAAAACGTCACGTTCTAATTCACTTTTAAATTTTAACCGACAAACAGATTTTTATTAATTTTTGAGGAAAATTCATGACTTTGAAATTTTCAGAAATAATCTCCGTACAGAGTAGTAAACAAACCGAACTCAAAAGTTCGTGGAATCACATCTATTCGCCAAGTTTTATTGAAATCGGTTACCGGAAAGTGCGCGAAACCGGATTCATTCCCTAGTTTGCCACCCTTAGAGGTGGAATATTTTCTTCGTAATTAGATTTAGTCATCGAGTATATAACCAGAAATAGAGACGAAATGTCATTTAATTTGTTTGAAAACTATTCTGCCATATCATTACTGTGACAACTGCGCTCCAATTGGCTAGCCCGAGTTCGAAACAATTGACGGGTGTCGTCAACTTTTTCACTCCAAATCGTCCAGTTAATTTGAGCTTTGCTATAATGGACGAAAATTGCAAAATTACATATTTAATATTTAATTACCGATGAAATGTGATTCCGTTTGTTATGTAATTAGATGTTTTGCTGCTGTTTTTCCCACACCATCGAATAGAACAGCACGGCATTGTTAGAGATATTATCTTTATTACAATAAATACATAATTTTTTTGAAATATACAGAGTAATGTATAAGTATATATTTCAGTGCAAACGGGATTTGATATTTATAAGAGCTGTATCGCTAATGTGTTACCAGGAATATATGGCCCTTATTTCGTCTCTATTTCTGGTTATATACTCGATGGATTTAGTCTAATAATGAGGTACCCTCTTTCCAACCAAAAAAGAATCATCAAAATCGGTTCACAAATGCCGTTTTATCCGAGTTATCGCGTAACATACTGCAGTCGAATTGAGAACTCCTCCTTTTTTTGAATTCGGTTAAAAAGAATTTTCACCGCTGTTTGCTTGTATCCTTCACTTTGTTTTGATTTGTTAAAATTGACAGATTACATTTGGACTCAGAAATGGTTGTTGGTTTTCTGTAGAATCATTAAAAATAATTATTAATTCTCTGGTAATATTGTTACTATCTCTATCGATCGTAATGCGAGAGCAGGTGTGTGAGCGAGATAGCATTAGCTTTATTTTTCATGTATTTGTTTGTTGTGTATTACGTTCGTATGAAAGTAATACATGTGTATACATGTGCCAAACCCATTTTGCCTGATCTCAAACTAGAGAAAGTATGTTTTTTATTATGATATTTTCTTAAATTATTTATGGTATATCGGTATTCTACAGGATATATCATGGAGAGTGTGTGATGTAATTGCATGATTTGATTCCGCCTTCCCCTTTCCATCATCGGGGGACTAGACGTGGCCTAGGGTTCCACCCCTATGTTGTGGATATTCCCAGGAATTGCACTAGGGTGTGGAATTCCCTGTCTGCGGACTTGTCCCCCGAACGCTATAACTTGGACTTTTTCAAGGCGAGAGTGAATAGACATTATTTAGGTGTGCATGCTACATCGTCAGCCGCATCATCACTTTCCATCAGGTAAAATGGAGGTCAAATGCGCACTTATTTTTTGCATAAAAAAAAGACTGCTTTTGTATGTCAAAGGAAGCCAAGTTAATTTTTTATTTAATTTTTTATGGGATTGAACGTTCTATGAAAATAGCCGTGGTAGCCAAATGGGTTGATCTACCGTCTCTCTTGCAGAGGATCGTGGGTTCGAATCCGGGCTTGCACTTCTTGAGTTTTTCGGAATTTATATGCAAAATTTAGTTTGAAATTTACCATGAGCTATTCGGTGAAGTAAAGCATCGTGAGGAAAGCTGCACACATCTGCAAAGCAATTCAATGGTGTATGCGAAGTTCCCAGATCCGCTTTGACCCCGCGTGGGAACTAAAGCCCTTTCAATTTGAGAGGCTTGTGCTCACCAGTGGGATTGTATATAGGCTAACTATTTATTTTAAGGTAATAGTAAAAGCTCCGAAAAGTAAATTAAAAATGAGCTTGTTCAAAATATGAAAGCTACGAAATCTTTTGTGCAAATAAAAGATATCCATAATGTTAACCTTAGAGCTAAGTCCAAACTCAGGGTACCACGATTTCGTTTAACCAAGGTAAACGACTCTTTTATGGGAAACTGTATACGTTTTTACAATAAGATTCCGGAGCATATATTAAGTTTATCATTTCCTAAGTTTAAAAACTACATTAAAAATATTTTGATCGAAAAGTCATATTACAAAATTGAAGACTACGTATTAAATAAAGATGTATGGAAAGATGACACGGCTCCAGAATCCACGCAAATTTGATTCAAAGAGTATTCCATAGCATTTAAGTTTATTTGAAACGAGCAATCACTAGAGTTTCTTGCTCGTTCTTCTCAGAGAAGTCAGCGTAGTGAACGAGCAGTAGTTTAATGTAATGTAAATGTGACGTTTTGAAGTGTAAATTTATTTTACCTATGGAATAAATGATCGTTGACTTTGAAAAATACGAAATATCCGAACGAAATACTGAAAGTTCCGAAAAGTCTTGCTGACGTAATACTACTCTACCAACTAGTGGCAGTAGTAACTTACCAAAAACTATTATTAGCCATTTTCATCGTAAATTATATTGATTATGGTATAATTTGACCTGAAAATATGTCCGGAAACGCAACAAATTCGCTTCTGGCACTCGCCGGCCGCTGCCCCGGCACACTCGCATCACTCGCTCGGCTCGCCTTGCTTTTTCATATACTAACCTGCTGAATAGGGGGCGCAACCAAAATTTGACCTATGTAAAATACATTTGTTTTCTTTGAAACCACCATGGAATCCAGTGTGTAACAATAATAATTTTGTGGAAACGTTTGTTTAGCGTTGTAAACTGTATTATAGAAAACATGTTATTATAGAATAATATTATGTTTTTTTTTTGTAAGTTAGTATTTCTTTCGGAAGTTTAGTACATTTCTCGGAAGTACAGTTTTTTTTTTTAGAATTATTATTTGAACAAGCTATTGATTGATTGCTAAATTAATATATAATAACAATATTATATATATAATACATTGCTTGTTTATTTTCCAGTAACTCATTTTAACGCAACCTAAACCTGCAATTTTACTTGTTTTTCGGAACCTTTATTATTTCCCTTTATTTTAATTCTATTTTGTAAAATGCGCTCGCGGGACTGCCCCATTGTTTTCGATAATATCCGCCATTCGCCAGAGTCTAAATGTAAACTTGCCAATCTATGTTTGTTATAAATTGATGGACAACTTGATGTTTGAATGTTGAACACTCGTTTTTTTCTGTGCTCACTCTCAGCCATTGGAAGTACAAGAGGTAATGCACGCTTTATAACACTTGTTGCTTTTAAATAACACGAAATCTCGTAATGATAATTTTCTTTCATCCTGTATGACTGTTGGTTCTTGAAACAAAAAAAAAAAAGATCTGCAACAAGCATAAAGAAAAATTCGTGAGGTCTGCTGGTTCCTTTGCTCAGTTGAAAGACCGTCGAACACGGTGTGCTGAAAATGTTGGTTCGAATCCAACCGGATGGAAGGAACTTTTCTTAGTGTTTGGTTTTGTATTAAATTAAATCATTATAACAAACTAATGGAGTATTTATTACAAATATACGCGATTTAAATCCGGAAAAATAGTTTCATTTCCTATGTGTAACAATCGCGAAAACCTAAGAACTCGATAGTGGAGTAATTTCACAAAAATAATTGCAAGGTTTATCTCACGAATTGTTTTAAGAGTTTCTTGCAGTTCTTTGTGTTTACTTTTTAACGATCTTTTTGCCGTAGCGCCATCTGTGAGAATACTATTTCTTATAGATTAATTTATTTCCATAATTTTCGTCATACATTTTTTCTAAGTTTTAAGATACCACACGTTAATTCTGTCAGCCCGCCAAATGTCATTAGGCAAAAAGTATAGTTTTTATATGAAAAGTGGAAATAACTACGAGGCCTTTTACTGTCAAACTGTAATAAACGCGATGTTGTTGACAAGGCGGAGCAGGCGCAGGCGGACGCGTGTCGTCGCTTCGAGGAGCTGTCGGCGCGAGCAAGGGAAGAGCTTATCGATTTCCGCAACAGGCGTGTTGCCGCCTTTAGCAAGAGGTACGAGATTGTTCTATACATAGTTTCCTAAAGTGGTCCCTACCGCCCTCCAGCGGGCGCTGAAAAGTTCTAGGGCTGTGAAGCAATTTTGGGGAGTTAATGCTGTCGCAATTGAAAAAAAAAACCTGAATTATCTATATATGTAAGAGGATGGGGTATTTCAATAATTTATTCCAAATTAATAATTAAATTCACTCAATCAACGCACTAATCACTATTTATTAATCGTCAATATTTAATTTAATTATTCATGAATACTTATAAGAAAATATTTAAGAAAACGTAGCTACAAGAAAGTGATATAGAGTTGTTAAAACCACCAAATTTTAATTCATTACTATTTTCGAATTCTGGATGGCAGGAAATCGTTTTAATACATCGTAGGACATAACTATACATCTAGGAAGCCAAAATTGGATTTTAAAGTAATTCTAGTAGTGCCATGTAAAAAATGCAGTAGATAACTGACTTTTCATTACAGTAAACCTGCTTGGCGAAAGAAATAAGAATGGTGGCAGTACTTACCTGCACGAAGTCTTTCACAAGGAGCTCTATTACTAGTAAAATGATTGGTAATGACGAAGATGCTAATAATGCTGATGCAGCTGTATAACTACTGCATTTTTTGACATGAATTACTTTAAAATCCAACTTTGACTTACAACATCGTCGTCCAACATCGTCGGACAAAACAACTAAGTGAGTAGCTTTGTCCTACGATGCAGTAAAACCATTTCTGGAAATCCGGAATTAAAAAGTAATGAATTGAAATTCGGTGGTTTTAGCAATTCTATGTCACTCCTTGTAGCTATATCTATACATGTATCTATAGATTTGGAACATCTTTTTCTTACCTATGGTAATTATAGGAAAATAAGTTATTGTATACGTTCCCTCATTTTTTAGCTTAATCGACTTGGCAGAACTGGAGATCAAGCACGCTCGCGCTCAGGAAGAACTCTTCAAGAAGTCTCTGCAAGTCCTCAAGGAGTGCCAATAAACTGTTGCAGGTACCATTAACCTTTTCAGTGCCAAGACATCCGGGATAAGGTGACAGATTTCTTGTCATGACGATTCTTGGTATTGTAAAAAATCTTCTTTTTAACCCTCGACGCCAAAAGATGGGAGTTATAAGTTTGAAACCTTTGCCTGTATATCCGTGTGTCTGTCTGTGGCATCTTAGCTCCCAAACGGATGGACGGATCTCAAAGCGGTTTTTCTTGTCTTTTTTTTTAATTTGAAGGCTAATTTAATTGGGATTTTCTAGCTATGTTTGATGAACATATGTTCAACTGTTTAAAGATCATCAGCTCTTTTTCCAGTTAGTGGATACGATCTCAGCTCGAAAATGAGTATTTAATTTATTTCCGCTTGTCCAATCAGCTTGAAATTTTGCTTTAAAACCTTGATCTGATACTGTATCTAGTCTTCAGATTACCTAACTCTTCATCTACTTACAGTAGTATTAACGTGTCATTAAATTGATGTTTGACGAGTTGTTTTCAGAGTACACTGTTTTGTATCGGAGATTTTACAAATTTTAATTTGTTTGAATATTTTATGTTTCTGGCGTTGATTAATAAGTTATCTGTGGCCGCGTTGAGATCTTCCCTGGCGTTTGGGACGACAAACTTAAATATTCGGTTTTCGAGGGTTCAACAGATTGTATGACAGAGATAGTTAATAGGATCACAGAAGGTGACTAACGTCGAGTTTATTTTCTGTTTTATTGTATTTTCACACGGAAGTACGCTATTAGCCGGCGCTGAAAGTGTTAATGACGACCATACCTGCATTTAAGTGCGTAATAGTTAAAAATAACAGGGATGCATAGTATGAATACCGCAATCTATGAAATAAATAAAATGAGATTTCTTTCGAACAAGTAAGTTTTTCATGTAGGTTAAAATGTTATCGAAATTTCACCTACATAGCCATCAATTTTTCTATGATACAAGTTGTCCGATGGTGGCCGTAGTAACTTGTTAATTTGTTTTAATTTTTTTACCGGGAAAGCTTATTTCCTTTTGTTTAATATTCCATAACTTGATGGCATTGTAAGATGATTAAAAAAAAATGTTAGTAGATCGTTCCAGAAAAAAATATTTCAGAAATAATTTTCTACGTCCCATATAAAAAATCTGTCTCTTCACTTATAAGTAACTATGTTGTCGTAGAGCCGTGGAACTTTTCTGACAGTGAATATTTTAATGAGTTACACCATTTAATTTACATTCCTATTAGTTACGACTAAAATGTCAGATACGATAGTGAACTGAGGGATGGTATATAATTTTTTTCTCGAAATATTAAGGTGCGTATTAGGATTTTGTTTTTTTATTATTATATATAGATATAGTTTATTTTCTATAGTGGACCAAAGTCAAATAATGATATGATAAAATAATATATAATGTATAAACTGCGTCCCCTTAGCGCTAACCGACAGACGGTAGGGGAAAGTATAGAAGGGGATTTTATACCCGCCAGCGCACACTGATCCCTTACAATATCGCAAACGTTCGTTGCAAGGGATCCGCCGACATGCAACCGATCGCTCAGATTTGATTCCGTTCCACTATTCAATCAGACTCCGGCGCACATCGGAGGATATTTGATAAATTGTAAATTGAAACCAGTAAAGTCACGAAAGCGTATGAAATTATATTTCCTAATTTTACGAAATCTTTAATTTTCGTTAAAAATGTTAACATATTATTGATAACAATGATATTAAAATAATAAAGTTTGTAATATTTAAACAGATGGTAAATAACACACAGAGTACCGGACTGACCGCACGCCGTTAGTTTTTCTCCTTAGTTTTTATCGACAACGAACATGCACACGCGTCGCGCACGCTCAACATTAAGCAAATGGGAGAGAGAGCGCAATATCGCAGTCCCCCTCTGATGATTTATGGCCAAGCCTGCAGCGAGTAAACAATCTTACTATACAACGTTAACTACAAACCGACCCCTCCTACGTAAAGTATCGTATGTCGAAATTGCCAAGTTTACAGGGAAAAGTTTTAAAGTTTTTAATTCACTGGAATGAGCATAACACGTGACTTTAGCATTTCACAATATATATTGTTTGTTGTTCATCTAATCATTATCTAGGATTTTATAATACTCTATGGGTCGTATTCCAGAACTCTACTCAATGCTCAAGTCAGGATTTGAGCAGACTTGAGTATGATTTCAAGCACTGGAAATACTACCTTAATGGCAAGGACTTGAGTATGATTTCTAGTGCTTTGAATCATACTCAAGTCCTGACTTGAGCATTGAGTAGATTTCTAGAATACGACCCTCAGTGAGTAACGAGCTTTTCCTAATAAAACTGAGAAATGCTAGAGTACGTGCTCATTTCAATGAATTCAAAACTTTAAAGCGCTCCCCTGTAAGCTTGGCAATTACGACATGTATTTTACACCACACGTCTACATTCCCTTTGAAAAATTACATAGAAATCACTTACGATATATCCACTCATAAGACGTGGCTTGTAAAAATTTTGTTAAAGATAACCATGTAATGCTCACAACACCGTTGAAAAATAATTTGTTTAGTCCGCTGTCTTACTGATACGATCAATCGAATTTTTTTTGGCTATGGTACTACTCTGTCCTCCTTATCATGACTAACGTATTTGACATTTTAGTGAAATTGAGTTATTAACAATATGTGGCATCAGCGAATCGAGATACAACCCCCTATAAGCGGTTTTTTATATTTAAAATAATTTCAGTTTTATTGTTAAGCGAAATCAGCGTAATTGATATTTTTCAAAGAAAAAAAAACTTATGGTGCCAATATCTCAAAAGTTAAAGTTGGTTATGACAAGCCCAGTACTGGTAGTACCACGTAATAGGACTGAGAAAAAAATATTTGAAAAAAATTGTGATTTTTTTTGTTAAAATTTAAATGCACTAGTTTTGGTTACGCAAAAAAAACATGTTTATAATTTATAATCGCTATAGCTTTTATTGTTTCTATTTAAATTGAATAGATATTAAAAAATCCATGATGCTATACTATAAGCAAAATGTTATTACTTAATGTTTATATTGTAAGAAAGTATGATTAAAGATAAATATTATGAATAAAAGTATATAAAAACTTTGATTTAGTTTATTCTTTCTCTCTGAATTCCTGTTCCTAAACCTTTAACATGCTATAGTTGTTATATACGGATGCGTGATTTAGCGGATAATACCAAATTACTTCTCTATAACGCCAACGTGTTCGTATGCAAAATTTTCAAAATGCCGATTACTCAAAATGACAGCTTCTCAATACGTGAATTTCTCAAAATGTCGGTTTTTCAAAATGCCAACTTTGCATAATGCCACTTTTATCAAACATCAACTTTAGCATTTGATAATATTTTATAATAGTGTTAACCATATAGACGAGAGCAATATCAGAGCTCTCTGTAACTGAGTCATGGACAAATTATTTGTTCAATTTGTTAATTAGTATTTTGTTTTTCATTGTATTGCGTGCCAAATGAATCAATTTTGTTTTTGACCAGTCAAAGTAGAAATGAAATGCTGAATTTCACCAATCCTTGATCTGGGCATAAAAATATAAATACGTAACGACTGCATTTAATTATAGAATGCTGTGATCAACACCTTAATTATAAAACTAATCATCCTGCAAGTACAACTATAATAGTACATATTAATAATAATTTGACAACCCTACGCTACGAGCTAAGTGTATTGATAAAGCCATTAATAATAAAAAAAATTGATACGCTAAACAAGCGGGAGTTGCTCTACTTCTCTTATACTATGCTTATATACCCTCTCTTTAGGGAGGTTACCTATCACTAGCCCGAAATGACATTTTCCACAAATAACGTTAACATCCAACATATCCTGAAAGAACAATAGTTTCGTTATAATTCGGTTTTCGACGTAATAAAAATTCGAACAAAAGTTATTTCAGAAAAAAAAATCGAGTTTGTGATAGGTTACCCTATAAAGGAGATCCGTGTCCAGCAGAGGGACGTATAATAGGTTGAATATGATGATATCCAAACCCATAAGCATTTGGCTGATTCAAGTAAGCATTCTTATTAGACGCTTATAGGAACGCTGCAGTGGCGCCTAGACGTACAGTCATATACACATGATACCTGAACCCCAAGCCGACTTTGTCGGCCTTTTGGTTTCGAGCACAAAAATGTGGGGAAAATTGTCGAACAAACTTAATCTTTAACCTGTGAGCTGTAAAATTTATTTTGGTATGACTACGTGGTCGTCTCATTAGTGAATAACATTGTAGAAAGTAAAGTTCTTACTTAAATACAGAATACAAATTTCAACCAACTACAGTAACGACGTCGCGGCCTAGCGGCATAAGGATTGCTTTGCAAGTTGATGCAAGCATGGTTCGAGTCACATTAAAAATAAAATATTATTTAGACTATATGATGTTGTTTTTTTTTGTTTTTACCTCTTGATAGGTGTAAGGAATGTCTAAGAATGTTAGATTCTCAAAGTGAACCATCTCCCACAAACATTAGGTGAATAATATAAAAGTAACCTTCTTGAGTAATTCAACAAATATTTTACTCTTCTAAATTATAATTAGTAAACATTTAATTGTTTAAAATACCAACAGCCTGTATCAGTAACTACTGTATTTTTTAAACTCACAATTATATCGATATTGACGAAACGTTAGATAACTAATTTTATTACTTAAGGTAGATATAGCAAATGTCAATACATTTTTCATGCACGGGAAACCAACCGGTTTGGTTAAAATTCTTAAACAATCATTCAATTAATGGAATACCTTACGCATTCATATTTGAAGATTTCAGCTTGATATCTCACCACTTTTTCCAATAATATTCATTTGAATAACATGTTAAAATCTTATTTGAAACATGTTATACAGGCTGTATATTTGAAAGTGGGGCATACTTATAGAGTGCGTTATATTCCTGATTTTGAACCCAAAGATATAATAAACTAATGAACTTAAACTTCACAAAAAAATATTTTTTTACTACTTGACACACACAACATTAGTTATCGAAATCTATGCACATCACTATTATTGCTCCGACGCAGCGGCGGGTGGTGGCACGGCGGCGAAAAACAAAGCACAGTTCGGGGGTGGGGGCGCGAGCGCATATGCGAAATTGCTCAGTGCACGCGCGACCTTGATCTAACGAAAACTATTTAAATAAATAAAATATTTACGTAAATTATTTGTACTGCCGCTCGCCCGATCGCCGCAAAGTGGATATTTACTCTAACGTCGAATTGACTGAGATGGTGCGACTTTACGCAATAAGTGGTGATAGTGTGAGGCGAGCTATTGAAATGTTCCCAAATCGGAGTTTACGCGGAGGAGGTGAACAGTGTCGAAGTGTTGCGTAAGAGGATTATCTCAGCATTTTATACTGTTAGACAAAATGTGTTTGTGTTGTACAATTTAAAACAAAATTTACTATGCCGTGCTAGACTATGCATTGTGGAAAACGGTGGACATTGTGAACAGTTGCTCCGGACCACGTAAGTGTAAATAAACTGTAAATAAGTAAAAAAATCAATCATTGTAAATAATTTGATTTCACATTTTTAACTACGCCAAAAACTTCAATTCTTATTGAATGATAATTAGTTACTAAATCATAAACTTATCTTTTTTAGTACGTAAAACATTTCGATGATAGTTCAAGTAAAAAATAATTAACATAAGATAAAACGTAAATGTGAAATCATTGTTATTGTTGCTGTCTCACTCGGCGCTCGCTTGGTAGTATTCCCATTGCACTCGAAATCAAGCGTAAAGGGAAACGGTTTATTCCTATGTACACTTCAAAACACATTTGTTGATTTATGTTTTGTTCTATCCCACATCCTAATTTTATTTTAGTCTATGTTAAGTTGTAACATGATTTACTATGACATGTATGAATATGTCTC